AGTACGTATATGTATATCGTACTCTTTTTTGTCAATGTCGGATTTATTTCCAAATAAAACCCCTTTCATCCGTCCCCCCCAACTTTTTTCTCTCTTATCTTGTCTTTATCTGTCTATAAAATCTCTTACCGGCGATTAAATTTGCCTGTAGCATCTGTGGTCTCTCTTCTTGCATCTAGAAAGATGCATTTTTCCTTAAAAATTGGCGTTGTTTGTACATATATTTAGATAAAGAGATATGCACTGATTCAGACAAATATATAAATAGATGAAGTTAGTTTTTATTAATACTACGACAAAAACAAAAGAAAACAACATTGATGATGCGAATGGGAATCAAACAAAACAGCGTTCTCGAAATCGCTTTGTAAAGAAACCTTGAACAGACAGCAGATGTACAGCGTTATGGCTTCTGATTGACAGCACAGAAGCAGCCTATCATTTGAAGAATACAAGAATAGTTGGGTCGGCACCTTGTTGCACACACACACACACACACACATACCTGTATACATACACACACATATATAAATATATTTTCATATTTCTATATACTTTAACGTATTTATATTTTTACGTAAGTATATCGATATGTCGTAGGTTCAGTGGCGAAAGAAGCATTCATATTATACAACAAATATTTAGTTTTCGACATATTTTCATTTTGTTAATGCACATAATTCATGGATGAAAATTAATTAAACGGAAAATGAATAACTGAATACTACACAGCGGACATATTGATAAATTTTCCTGCATAACATATTGAAATCAGAAGGATATTCACAACCACACACACACACACACACACACACACATATATATATATATATATATATATATATATATATATATATATATATATATATGTTTTGTATGTGTATCATAGAAAAAGGATTAAATCCGACAAATACTCAATATATTTTCTGTTTATGTCATTTTTTATGGATACACTTATTTGAGTAAATTACCTGTTCGTTAATTCAATTTACTAAAATAAGTGTGTCCATAAAACGTATGAACAGAAATATATATATATATATATATATATATATATATATATATATATATATATTGATCAGTGGCAACTCTATGTCACCAGTGTTTGTCGGACTCATTCAATCAGTTATGTACCATGCGTAATCATGTATCGAAAGATACATGATTGACTAGGCACATTTTTTTCCCGCAGTCGGTTGCCATTTCTTTTTGTGTTAGATGGATGAGAAGGAGATATATTAGCAAGAAGTGAGTTTAATTGATTTGACTGGAGTTCGAACCCGGTCCGCCGATTCCACCACGATCTTTGATAAAATATAATATTAGTATAACTTGATGACGGTTTATTATCTTTGAATAAGAGTAGCTTATTTTCGGCACAGGGACACAAACCGGGGTCGCTCAGTGAGAATCAAACTCAATAGAAATGGTTAACAAACCCAACACGCTATTATATTATGTCGTACGTCTTTTTGTTCATTTATTCTCTTTAGCATGAAGTAAGGCTACAAGTATGAGATACCAATTTATGATGAGGCTCATTACCAAGTAAGAATAGTTGATGAGATTAGTTGGCCATTTCCCCTCGGTTATTTCCCCTGGCTATTTCCCTACGATTATGTCCCAGCCATGAAGTACCTATTGTCGGCAATAGGAATAGCTTGACATGCAAATTACAAATTGGCGATACCAAAATTAAACAACTACAACGATTTAAATATCCTGGAAGTGTTTTTAACAGAGAACGGAAAGCGCGACACTGAAGTCAGAGTGCGCATTGGGATAGCGAAAGTTACCTTCCAAAAGCTAAGCAAAGTATTAAGAAACAGGAAAATACCGTTAGGGACAAAGAAAAGAGTACTGAACTGTTCGTAATATCAGAACTCCCATATGGCAGTGAATGCTGGAGAATCTCCTCAAAGATAAAAAAGAGACCTGAAGCGAGTTTTAGAGAAAAATAGGAACAAAAAGGGACACTTATGCGTGACATAGTGGAAATTTCTAGGCGATGAGAAAAGAAGGTTTGGAAAATTTGACACTGACAGGATAGTTTGAAGGTAAGAGAAAAAGAGGAAAGCAAAACATATCCTAAAATTTATAAAGAGTTTCAAAATACAGAAAATTGTGGAGAGCTATGACCATCCGAAGCTATGATCATCTGAAACTATGAGCACCTGTGTATCATCATCTGTGTATGAGCTACAAAATACAGAAAATTGTGGAGGGATATGATTATCTGAAACTATGATCAACTGAGTTATGATCATCTGAGCTATGATCATCTGAGCTATGATCATCTGTGTATAATGTCCCTTCATTTTGAAGAGACATTATACACAGAAACAGCAGCTTTGCTCAGTTCGACGTAAGGCCTCATGTAGTGGGTATTTATTTAGAAATCGAACTAATTCCTCGGTGGTAATTTAGTTAGATCCAGACTTTCATATGGATGCCATGCATAGCTTTAAAATAGTTCTGAAATATCTAAATTGATAACTTTATACACAAATTTTCTGAGATCCATAATTAAAAATGTTTTCTCGCTAGTAAAGCATGAAGCAAGAACTTTTTTTCCTTGAATTTTGTGGACTGGCGTTACAGATTCACGAAGAACTATCAAATAACAGAAACTACATCACTTAAAGACTTCCAACAGCAGCAACAACTAAAATGGAAAGCACATGTAACTCGAAGAAAGAAAAAAGACCTAATAACGATGACGTTCCACATGACTTCAAAAAAAAGAAAATGGTTAGGAATGATGCCCCATCAATACTAGAAAGAGTGACAACCGTTACTGGAAGGTTATATCCATATCACATTGAAACACGATTCTCATACGATCACCAAAGTTAACCAACGTCAAACCTGGTCAGTATCTAGATGGGTGACCGTTTGTACATACCAGGTGCTGTAAACGTCAAAGTGTGGGTGATGTAATGCATAACAGCTTGGATAGCCGAGTTCCAGTTCCAGTCGGGTTCGTTATATTTATTTATGTGCACATACCACTGAGAAAGTTATGAATCCATCTCTCTTCTCCCAGCTCTGGGTTAAATAGTATGGACTGTATCAGTAAAATCAATATTATCTCAAAAAAATTCTTTGAATTCGAGAATATTTTCCTGCTTTAAATTTAAAAAAAAATGATTAACAAAAAAACAGTTACGAATTTGAGAAAACTATTGTTTTAACAGAACGATTTCATAAGTATATAAGTAGCACTGTCTGCTTGGTTAATGAATGCTGATTGTTTCCTCATAAGAAATATTAGCATTAGCATTACCAAGAATCGGCCAGAAGAACTTCCTCGCCATTAACTCAAGTCCTCTCCATTTATTATTGTTTCTCTTTTACTCAGATTATTTCATTCCATTTCCTGTTTAGCTTTCCTTTGTGTAAAGTACAACTTTAAAACATTCTCCATTCATCCACTCGTTTGTTGTTTAATGTAAAAATGACATTCATTTATTATTATTATTAATTTTAAATTCATACTACTACTTTTTATTTCTTAAATGCTTGGTTTCTATATCTCTTCAGACAGCACTGCTTAGATTCATCTGTTCTTTCTTTCTTTCTTTTTTTCTTTCTTTCTTTTTTTCTCATCCTTATCATGGGACGACGACGATTCAGGATTCAACATTCCCAATTTTAAAAAGCTTGCAACAACATCAAAACACCGTAATATTTACAATATATATATATATATATATATATATATATATATATATATATATATATATAAAAAAAACTCCCCAAAAACTCCCCCAGACTTTTTTTTTTTTGGAATAAAAGGGAAGTAGGAAAAGGTAGAAGTTGTTTTTTTTCATCTTTTATCTCCCACAATGTCTGAAATTAGAGCCCACGAGTTTTTTGCTGGAAAAAAGCAAAATGATTTGGAGCTTCGAATAAAAGGATAAAAAAATGTAAGGCTGTGAATAAATCCAACATACGCTCACCCACAAATACATCCTCTCTATATCTCTTTCACACACACACACACATATATATATATATATATATATAATAACTTTTTATTTTTTCTGTCTTTTTTTCTTCTTTTCCTTTTCATTGTATCTGAATAAATTGAACTCTATTTTTGTAAAACTGATCTGAAGAGATGGATGTTTGAAGTCCACGAAATAAATTATTACCTGAACGGAATTTTTAAGGGTCCTGTATTCATCATTATATATATATATATGTGTGTGTGTGTTTGTGTGTGTGTGTGTGTGTGTGCGTGCGTGTGTGTGTGTTTATTTTGGTAGCAATACTTTCTTTATGCATGTTTTTGTAAATATAATGGAGATGGAGTATTTTGTAATTTTCAATTTTTCTTGCGTCCTTACAATACTTTGAGGACTAAGCATGTGCAGAAATTGTCCAGAGTCTTTTATTTCCCTGTCGCATTTTCAGCTAATACTTTAACCAATTCATACGTGATTATTTTTCGTGCAATTGAGGATTGTGAATATTTCTTCTATACTATCTCCGTCGGGAAGGCTTTGTTTTGTAGCAGTAATTTCATTCTTAGTGAAATTGTTGCCTAGTTTCCGAATACAGCCATGATGTTTTTGTCTTGTTCATCCGAGGTACTGTTGAAGGAGATCTGTTTTTATTTCTTTTTTTCGTGTTTTGCTTTTATGAGAAGTGTTTCATCAAACTTTATTAATAATTAGATGTTCTTATTGCCTCTGTTTTGTATAGAAATATTTTTATGCATAATGGAAGTTGCAAATGTCTATTTAAGTGCCTATTTAATTTCACATTGTTCAGAGTACCAATCGGGTACCCCAAATGTTTGTTTTAATTTTAGTTTTATTGACGGACTAACAATCCTGCAGATTGGTTGTCAGAAGTTTGGATTCTACCATTGTGGTATTATTGCTGATTTTCATGTTGGGAGTTTTAAATTTCATGCATTTTACTAATTTCCTTGTCGTCTAAAGATCGTGAATGCATGAAACTTGAATAGCGACTCAGGCTGTCCTTTGTTA